ATGAATTAATCGGATCGGTAATTGTCGATTACTTTGTCTCTCTATGATATAAATTTTATCCAAACAATTGTTATATATATCTGAAAATAAAAATGAGAAAATTTTTATCAAATAAAAAAAAAATAGAAAAATTGTAAAATTGTGTTAAATTAATAATCAACAATAATTTATAGGATAATTTATTAATAATGATAAAATAAATATTAAATTTTCAAGAAACGAAATTAATATTTCCAAGTTAGATGAAAATTAAAAAATAATGATAAAAAACTTTAATTATATTTGAAAAATTAAAAATTCTTAAGTATTATATTATAAAAATTTGTAAATAGTTTTCCTTTACAAAAGTCATGTATGTATGAATACGAGGAAAAAATACGAATAAACACGTGCTTCGTGTAATCTTGCATTCAGGTTGTGTTCGTTCTCATGTTGTGTAACATTCTTTTTGGCATACTGTTCTGATGAAATGAACACGGTTGCAAGTTTTTCATCCAGCATTTCTGAGTGTACATATTTGAAAGCACGCACTGGTTCGTATTAAAACAGCAGGTAATAACTTTTCATTTTCGGCGTAGAAAATGGTCGAATGAAAGTAAGTTAAATAAAATATTTCGGCAATTAAATAAAATTTTAAACAGTTATTTTCTTTTTTTCGTTTCATCTTAATTTGCACCTCTACTCAAGTCTTTGAAAGTTTATTAAACTTTTTCTGAAAATTAAAAAAAATTGCATAAACATTAAGAGATAATAGTATTAACAATTTGACTTAAAAATTAAAAAAAAAATACATTCAAAATTCATGAATTATATTAAATACTAAAATTTAATGAAAGATAAGAGATATCCTAAGAATTTTGAGTGGAAATTTAGGTATAATAAATTCCTTATTAAAATGTGATATAATATAGATTGATAAAATTTGTAGATTATATCATATTAATATCGCTCTCTTGCAAAATAATTTAGTAATAATATTAGTAATAATATTAAATTGACAAGATAGAAATTGTAGATTATACATTTTTTTTTTTTTATACTTCAAATGAAACCTAGAATTTAAAATAGATAAATATTCCATTTGTTTTATTATATTATTATATATTATTATCATATTAAAAAAAATCTTTTTAATTTTATTTATAAATACCTTTTTAACTTATAACTTGTCAGTAGTAAAATCTCACCAAATATCACATTATTCAATAATTCTAAAAATAGACTCTTCTTATGAAACAAATTAAACTCGAAAACTAAACATATCTTTCAACTTCATGATCTACGGTACAAAACAGTTTACAGTTACAGTAATCATCACCACCTATAATCAAATAAATTTCCCATGCTTAATAACCTCACCCAAGCGGAGACCATTAAGACACACGAACATTCCCATGAGCTATTTTAAAGATTAATTTCACTTAAAAATAATAATGTATGAAAAGAATACTCAATCAGTGGATCAACTTGGATCTACAATCTGTCCAGAATCTTTTGAAAACGCAATTATAGTCGTAGAATTATTCCACTTCTGGATAACTGAACGTCCAGAAGTAAAATTGAGAAAAGTGTTGATGAAAGGAGATTATAGTGGGTCCACGTTATTATGGGGAAATTTGTCGGTGGTATGCGCTTATATATCCCCATAAATCGGGTAGGTGGCGAACGAGGCGCACAGTCGTTCGCAATAAACTCGTGGTCTTTCGCAATAAGGGCGACGACCGTCCCCAACAGAGCAGAGAAGTACTATCGAGGGTGAAGGGTCGTAATCTATTCCGCCACCTTATATTACCGAGAGTGGTATGTCCTCTCAGGGCTATCGAGTCCCTCTCGTTTCTCTTCATTCCCACTCATGTCACTAGTTTGATCAATCGTAGCTTTTTTCTTCCTAGTTGCTCTTTTCTTCCTTTTGTTCTTTTTTTCCATTTTTTTTTTTTTTTGCATCTCGTATTTTGAAAATGTTGAAATTGAGTTATAGTGGATCTACGTCATAATAGTTGTCACAGCGTTGAGTAGTTGGTTGGAATTTTTAAATGATCTTTGAGGTTATGCTGTGATATATAGGGAATTTTGTAATTTTGGGTTCTTAGAGATTGGAAGAAAAATTAATACTATTTGTGAATGATAAAATGTGATAGGCTGAGAACCATGTGATTGAATTTAATTATATCATTCTAATAAAGTTTAAGAAATTTTCTGATTTCATATTTTTAAGATTAGAAAAAGAAATTTCAAGATATGATATTATAATTGAGTATAATATTGAAATTTCAGAAACTTAAGATTAATTTGAATTAAAGAGGTTTAAAAAACCTTATGACATTATAATGTTTATAATCTCAATCTTTCTGACAATTTTTATTTTTTTATTTTTTTATTATTCGTGATATTGGAAAAATAGTTTAAATATTCTGGTATGTATAACAAATAAAATGCACTTCATATTCCACGTAGACGTTTTATCTTTTACTTTCCCAACGCTCTACTAGTTACAAGGAGTCGAGGAACAGAAATGAAACTCAACGCTTTCTGTGGAATCGTCGACACCAACGGAATCAGCATTCTTCTTCTCCGGTACTCGTATCTTCGAATAGTACGCGGTTATTCAGACTCCAAAGAAGAAGACGTGATTCAAACGTCCTCTTATCGCATCTGCAGACCGTTTAAGGCTATTGTTCTTCATAATTTACAACTTCCGTGGATTTCTCGCGCGCGCAAAAGCTACGTTTACAACTTTTATCCGATTTCACGCCGGCCTCTATCGAGTAGTAATTCTTTTATTTATTTATCGGACAATGTGGACAGACGAGATCCGAAAAAATATTTCGAATGTCGACTACCTGTGCTAGATTTGATACTACAGTCGAAATTCTTTCTGACTTTTATAGTTTATTCAGTTTTTTAAAAAAGTTTTGGTATATTTCATAATATTTTTATAATATTTTTAGATAAATTAGGTTTTTGTGCATTTTTTTTTATTTGTATATTTTTTTATAGATATCGTATCATTCCTATATTTTTAGATTAGTGTAGTTTGTTATCTAGATATTAGGTTAAGTTAGTTCGTTTCATAAATTTGTTAGATTCAAGTTTTTATAGATTAGAAAAAGATATTAATATTTTAAGAGATGATGTAAAATATAATTTAACCTAAAATATCAAAAATTTGGATTAATTATATCTTTTAATTAGTAAGCTAATAGAAAATTTTATCTAGTGTTCTAATAAATTAACGGATAGATTTGATAAACTTTTTCAAAATAATGTTATACTTACAAATTATACTTATTCATTCTCTACTATACAATCATACAATACTAAAATCAAATCTTATTTAAGAATCTCATTTAAAAACAATCCAGAAATTTTCATAAAATCAAATTTATATTTTCTGACATTTCACTGTCTTCTATCTATCCATACTAATTAAGGTGTGAAAAATATCCTAGATCCAGATGCCTCCCCTTGTATCCACCCACACACCTCTTTCAATGGCTCTGTGTTCTCTATGGTCGCCGTTTTCGCAGCGAGCGTCGAAGGAATTTTCAAATATTTCCGGGCAGACGCCCGATAAATTCTCGGAGCCGGGAAATATTTCCGATAGCCAACCGACAATCTGCTCACCTTGCGGACCTCCTACGCGAGGACAGCTCTCTCGACGAAGGATGAAACTCCTCAGACTCCTCGGTTAGATTTAAATTTCACCGTGAATGAGATAAACCGCGATACATCCTTGGCTTTTCTTATCTGGAGTTCTTCAACCTCGTAGGAAAAAAAAAAAAAGAAAGAAAAGAAAAGAAAAGAAAAGGAATGAAATAGGAGGAAAAAAATGGAAAGTACAAAATTAATATAATTACGGTTAGGATTAGTACAAACCTGTTTTCTTTCATTCATGGCTACCTAAAATTTTTGTTGTTAAACTGTATGTGGCACCATCTGTACATTCTATGTTTTTCTACTTTTTTTTTATTTCTTCCATTCGTAATTGTATTGCCATCTTTTGTGGGATGCGTGTCGTATACATATTTTTAAGATTATTATGTTATCTACTATTTTGTCATATTAATATTGTGATGATACTGTGATGATAATTATTATAAATAAAAACAGTCATTTATCATAATTTTATATACATTAATAATTATTGTATAATTAAGTAATTATTAATATTTATTATAACTTTTATAAATGTTTTTTTTCGATAAATTTTTATTAAAACATTATATTTTCTTATACAATTTTTTTTGTTGAATAAAGAGAAAAATTTAATCAATTGATGATTTCTTTTATAATTTTTATTTTTTTTTTCTAATGAATCTATTAAAAACGTTTATATTTAAATAAATATAACACAATATTTAAATAATTTTTTACTTACAAATTCAAAATGATAGTGATGCCTGAGTATTAATGTGAATGACTGTATGTTCAAACTTTACAAGATCCATTAAGTTTAACTGCATTCAAGGAATTAAATTTGGTCTTCTTTTGATCTAGAATTCTAGCTTTTCATTTGAAGAGCTCTTATCCAAGCTTCTTCCGACTGTTTATCGTTTCTTTTTTCCCATTGGGACACAAGGTGTTAATCTTTGAATAAGAGATAATTTTTCTGATGTTCAAGTAGAGGAAGACGTATCTGGTCAGACACCTTGGCAGACTCTTCTTTTACGTTGAATTATTAAGAATGGTCTTTAAGCCGATTTTATTTTGCTTTCTTCCAGATGGATATATTCTTTCTATTTTTGCTTTTCTTCCCTCAAAGAAAAAATCTGATGCTATTAAATCGGAATAAACAAGGCTGTCAATTTATCCAGTCTGTAATCTTCTAATGATTAATTTTAATAATAAATTTTTATAACGAAAATCCCTTAGAAAACAAATCCTTTAGGAACATACAATATATATTTTATTAAACTACTTAGAATTACTTGAAAAAATAATAATAGTCTTTATAAACATAATACTTTCGTCTTCATAAGACTTCTCAATTAATATAACTTAAAAAAAAATTCAAAAATATATCAAAATATGCATTTTCCACTTGATACATGTTTTTTTTTATTTTCCGGCATTTATTCCTTTTTCTCGCTCGTCCAATGCCAGAGAATCCCTCTTGGCAACTTCACAAACGTCAGCCAAGTAGTTCCAATTGGGTGGATCAGCCTATACAAATGCGCGCTTACAAGATCGAAATCCGCCTCGTTTTATGAAGTGGAAGATAAAATCTCTCGGTCAACTTCCATTGCACGGTATATATCGTTACGTGAGATACGATAGAGACTTCTATACATATTTATCAATGGCAGTAATTCAACTAATTTTGCGTTTCAAACTGATTGTTGGTTTCTTTTGGGAAGTGAATCTGGCACGATTCGAGATACATGTTAATTTTACGATTACACTGCAAATTTTACAGGAATGACGATAATGAATACATAATTGGTATTTGGTTAGATAGATGACACTGGAATTAATTTAGAGATTAAATTTCGTTTTTAATTGAAATTTTCGTATATAATGAATATTCCTTTACCTTTCTTTTTTATTTTATAATGATGAGTTATATTACAAGTGTATAATGCCATTTGATAACAGCATGAATCAATTTGTAGGTTAGGTTTCATTTTATGAAAGTTTCACTGTATAGTATGTATTTCTTTATCTTCTTTTCTTACATTATGATATGAGTTATATTATAAGTATATTGCTATTTGATATGATAGATGGCATGAATCAATTTGGAGATTAGGTTTCATTGTACAGTGCATGTTTTTTCATCTTCTTTCCTTACATTATGATACGAATCATATTATAAGTATATATTATTTCACACGATAGATGGCGCTGGATCGAATTAATTTATAGGTTAGCTTTTTTTCTCTGAAAATTTTAGTACACGTAACGTTTCTTTTTCTTTTTTTATATTACAATTTAAATTATACAATATAAATTTAAAACAATAAATAATCATACCAACTAAAAATTAAAATTAATTATAAACACTCTATCGACAAATGAAGATATTGAAACGATTCGAACGATATAACTCACCCAACTTCTTCATGGAAAATTTCACGAAATATGACAGTAGAACCATAAATATCCAAACAAACTAATTGCAAAGGTCCTCGAATCATCAAACTGGCGTTTCACGAACAGAACTTAATGATTTCTCGGTAACGAAAGAGAATTATTCTCGAGCTCCGGCGTTTCCAAGACGCATACAACACTTACCAAGTATGATTTCGTCGGATACATGCGTGGCCCGCTCCAGAAATTCATCGGCGCGGATCCGCTTCGAGCTCGTGATTCACGGGTGAGGCAACTTCACGCACGTGTTCCTGGCACACACGTCTCTCTTCGTTGGACGGTGGCCAAGTTCCGAAACAGCGTGGCCCCGGCGTCTTTAACGGCGCTTCGCCTTAATTATCGGGCTTGATGCGACGTGGCTAATTTACGAGGCTTTGCTTATCCCCTGTGCTCGTGAAAACTACCAAAGGTTCATTGTCGTTTCCATGATAGGCGTCGTCTCCACGTAAATCCACGATTTTGTTTGACTCTTAACCATACAGCCTTCCTTTAGCTCATCGGCAACAACCTCCATATCATAAATTTGATAGATTTTCAGCATCTAGTTTATTTTGAAATTAGTTATTGTTTATAGAATTCTGGTGAATTTTTTTAGAAATTCTATTCTAAAATTAAAATATTACGGTTAGCTTTTTCAGAGGCCATTTGTCATTTTATATAAAAATATATTTGATAACGATAGAGTAGACACTACTAGATGGCAGAGTTGAGTTATATTCTTGTTGTATTTTTCAATTAAGCATTCTCAATAACAAATATCATAAATTCATAAATTCTTAGAGAAATGAGTTTAAACATACAAAATTAATCTTCACATTTCAATTATACTCAAATTATCATGATCTTACCATCTTGTTATGTCAAAAATTTCTTCATTCATTTTTCCAATTTTCACATAAGTTATATATGGAAAAATATTATATATTTCTCTTTTTCTCCTTCTTTTTACTTACTTATCAACTTTCATTATTTCTACACGTTCCACCTACCCTCGTATCTTCTCCTCCCCTCTATTTCCTGCTCCCACATCCGGCTTCACTCCACCCATACCCAGCGATTCCAATGTACGAGCCACATCAGAACCAGTGGAGAGACCATTTTCATCCGCGTGTGTTGTTCCATCCCTTTCCTGGCCTACACCACCCTCTCGTTGCACACTCGACAGTCGAACGCATACACCTGCGCTCGCGTGCAGTTACATTTTTGCGGTTGACGCAACCATTCTGTTCATCGGCCGCGTAAATATGCGCGTGATTACTTTTAATTCCCTCTATTTGTCGGGGTTGCGTGAGCCGTTTCCCCTCTGCTTATAGACTCATTCTCTTGTTTTTATAATTTTTGCATGTTTCTGCTTGATTATTAGATGTTTAATAGAGAGAGTTCATAAGGCGATCTCTGTTTGTTTACCTTATTTACATGTAACGCAATGTCGAGATCGAAAGGATAATGTTTGTTGACTGGATTGTATTGAATGGACGTATCAAGATTTTCTCTGTTTGTAAAAATAAGTAATCTTCCTTTGAAGATGTAAAGAAAAAATAAAGTTTTTAAATCAGAAATAAAAAAAACAATAAGGAAATATCTAAGAAATTAAATTAAGGAAACAAATTGAAACAGAAAGGAAAGGTAGATACACGCGCAGAAAGAAAAAGAAAGAGATAGTTTCTTAGAAAAGAAAATGAAAAAGAGTAGAAAAAAAAGGAAAAAAGAAAATTAAGAAAGAAAGAGTGCGAAACAGAGAGAGAAAGAGAGAGAGGAATAAAAATAGAGAGAGGGAAATGGTATGAGGGAAACGCGCAGGTAGCTTTGCAGTTGAAATTTTCCGATCCGCACGTGCAGCGCGCATGCCGGGGATGCAATTCGCAACGTTAACAGTTATTTCGGCGGAAATCCGTTTTTGGGGCTGGGACGGGATCGTCGAATGGAATTTTACACTGTATATAGCTTATTGCACGCCCGCGCAACTTTCGGCCACGGGCTAATTGCGTGCGTCCATTTTCTTCCCTCTACAACTTTCATCTGTTTACTTCGTTAAACGTGAACTTTGCAAAATCACAGATTGTTTTTTTTTTCCAATGATATTCTTTTAATTGGATAAAATGAATGATATATATATATATATATATATATATATATATATATATATATATATATATAT